TTTTTTTAAATTATAAGAGCAGAACACAGATATTGATACAATAAATACATGTATTATTTCAGCAATAGACATAATACAGAGAGGGACTTTATTTTATATCCTAGATACTCTAAATTCAAATGCGAAATATATTATACATAGTTCATTGTTAAAGGACCACTATAGTGCCAGGAAAACAAACTCGTTTTCCTGGCTCTATAGGGTCTTTAGGTCCCCCCCCCCCCACCCTCTGGGTCCCCCTCCCGCCGGGCTGAAGGGGGAGTTTCTCTGAAACTGTTAACAGCAGGCAGGGTTAACCCTAGATTAAGCTGATGTGGTCTGGGTGCCTATAGTGGTCCTTTAACATGATTCTTAAATTTCCTTTGTCCATGATGTAATATTTATTTATTATATTTAATGTCTTTTTTCAAATTGATGATTATCCTTAATAAAGAATAAAAAAAATAAAAAAGATTGGAATCCATTAATAACTGATGACATATCTTGTCATAATATAGTGATTTATGTATGATATCACTCACCCTCTTTATTCCAACAAACTCATTCTCTGCAGCAGTGCGTCTGTTCACTTCTTCTTCATATCTACAATTTTTTTTTTTTTTTTGCTTAACAAGGTTTGCCTTGACGGTCAGGTGTGCTTGCATTTTAATGGCCATTGGAATGGTACTAAAAACCTCCTGTTATTTAAATGCACATAGATATTTGGCACAGTGTGCAGGTAACTTTTTGGGGGGATTTTGTTCTATGTATTGTGACTGATGAATACTCTAGCAATGGCTGCCACCTAGAAGTAGTGGGACTCTGAGCGCAGGGTTTAAAGGACCACTCTAGGCACCCAGACCACTTCAGCTTAATGAAGTGGTCTGGGTGCCAGGTCCCTCTAGGATTAACCCTTTTTTATTATAAACATAGCAGTTTCAGAGAAACTGCTATGTTTATAATAGGGTTAATCCAGCCTCCAAATCCTCTAGTGGCTGTCTCATTGGGAGGGGGACCCTGAGGGTGTGGGCACCCTCAGGGCACTATAGTGCCAGGAAACCAAGTATGTTTTCCTGGCACTATAGTGGTCCTTTAAGATTGTGTGCTTGTAATTCTAACTATTCAAATCATTTGGAGCATAGAGGTTAAATGTATCTCACATGCATCATGCTGGACAAATCAGCATTTATATTGCCTTATAAATGTTTTGCTCATAATGTTGAAAAATTCTAAAAATTATTTACTAACAAAAACATGCTTTGAGAGTCATCTGCTTAGTCAACCATATCATTAGCAGCGGGTTATCTGAGCATTTTGGAAAACTTCACGAGCACTTATTTATCCCTCCTAAAATTACACCTTAATCCCTTAATTTGCAAATGTGTTTTCATACAGATCATGCAGAAAAAGGTCTTGCACATCACCTGCAATATTTCAACACGCTACTATATCACAAAGTGGTAGCAACATTTCCATCAAGTTTAGGGTCTTTGTCCAACCACAAATGAATATATGAAAAAAACAGGTAATCATATACTTGTGACGGGATGTGGCATATGCAATTCACACATTTTAGTGATTTTTATTTAGTAACAAAAATAAGTAGACTTGTGCACGACGAGAAATTTTGGTCCTGCTGAATCATTTGTTTTCCGAATATGGAATTCTTTTTCAAAACAACGGACATTTGGCCGGATGTCTGTTTGGTTTGGAACTGAATCAGAAGAATAAACCCAAAAGGTGAGAAAATGGTCCATTCAGTGATCTGTAAAATATTAAAATAATAAGACTATATATTATATATAAAATATATATATATAAAATAATATGACGTATATGTATATATATATATCTATATCTATATATAATTTTTTTTGCAGTACACTGATAGGAGCCTTTTCCTGCCATTTGGTTCACAGATCAAGTGAGAAAAAAATAAAAACATGTAAAAATAACCAATAGAAGAAAAACAGAAGGAACAGTAAAAATATCTAAAATTATAGAGCAAAAGATGAATTTCCCTATGGACCAGAGCTCCTCCATTTATTGGAACCAAAGTGAAAAAGGTCGGGGTTTATCTCTAAAAGAGAGGGATGAGACCCTTGGTGACATGTAAGATTCTAATAGCCATGGACTTTTTTTGTAAAAGGAGGTAAGGGTTTTTGTGTGGTGTTATAATATGGGGGATGGTGAAAAGGGAGGCGGATTGTTCGAAAATCTCCTGAGAACCTACAAATTAGTGAAGAAATGTAACAGGGGCTGCAGTTGTTTAGAGCTTTATAGGTAAAGGTAAGCATTTTGAATTGAATCATATAGGTTACAGGAAGCCAATGTGATGATTGACAGCAGGGCAAGGTGTGAGCAGAGCGACAGCCTAGGGCGCACAATCATTACTGATTGAAGCAAGGTAGTATGGTTTCTGGAAAGACCGATTAGGAGAGAATTACAGCAATCGATGTGCAAAATTACTAGAGCATGAACAAGCACCTTAGCATATTTTGCCATGTAAGGGAGAGCATTTATAAGCAGATGATGGGCAGGTTCCAGCCCGGTTAGGAAACGGAACCAGCTGGCTTAGTAGACTCTTGTCAGTGCTTGCATGGCATTTGTAGATGTGACTGAGCAGGAGCTACAGGATAAACCATGAAGTAATAGTCTAATGGATCTGTCCATTTCACATTCACTGGGGGCAGATAAAGGAGGATACTTGCAGCCACAAAATCAATGTGGGTCCTTATTGGCCTAGGGACCAAAGGGGCAAACACTAATAGGCCTGTTGGGAATATCCACAGGACTCTGGTGAAGGGTGGGAGTGCTTTACAATATTCTAAAATGGCTGTGGACAGGTCAGGGAATGGCTGGAGAGAGTTGTCATCATAGTGGAACTCACCTGTATCTCTATCAGCCCTCAGGATCTCTTCTTTTAGGCAGAAGTTGTATAAGCAACAGATCATGTCCCAAGGGGAAATCTCTGGTGGACCATGAGGCCGAAATGCTCTATGGGTTCGCACAATGCCAATAGGAGTGGCATAGTCCCAATTCAAGAGGCCATTAAGTAGCACTGTGAGGATCTTTCATAGGTGAGTAAGGGAGTCCTCCTGTTTTGGATGGCCTCTAGGGTGAAGGTTGTAGCATAAGCCTCTGATATCAAGGTATGCCATGTCTAGGGCCATGTGTCTGTGATCCATTTTGACATGAGGGTTAATCTCATGTGATTATTTTCTTTTCATAACTTTTCAAAAGACTTTTGGGTATGATTTATCACACACAATACACTTCAGGTTATTTATTCATTCAGCTTACTTATTTTCTCTATCGTAGAGGTGTCTAGTGACATTTTTGTAGTCCTCTTTAGTCTTATCTATATTGGTGAAATGGGAGTGAGGTGTAGATGGGGTGCCCTCGATGGTAAGTAGGGTAACCTGGAAGGCACTAAGTAAGATAGTATGCTTTAAACCCTCCCTTTCCCCCTTTTTTCAAGTGTGGTTTTTATTTATTTTAGTTTTAGGAAGGTTAGTTTGGATCTTATTATTCTGTCTCTTAGTTTCAGCTTATATTTTGAGTATACTTTGTATAACCAACATTTGAAAATTTTTGTGTCAGACATGATCCCACTTGGAGAGAAAGTGACTCCTTAAACTGAACTGTTTAATTTGGTACATATATATTTTGATTGTGTCTTATAAGGCAGGATATTGTATTGTGATTATGTCACTGTTACTCACTCTAGAACTACATTTATTTTTTGATGTTAAAGCTATTGTGATTTTTTTACATTTTAAATACCAACACTATTTTTATGTTCTCAAATGTTTTTTCCTGATATAATCTCAGTCAGAGATGATGACTGAATTTTAGATGATATAATTAAATAAATGTTATATTTTAGACTGGTGGCTTTTCACAAGTCCTTCTTGGTTGGCAATGCTTTTATCAGGTTTGCCCAGTCTACTACAGTTGGCTCTGATGGGGTGTCTTGATCTGATCCTGGAGAGGCTGGCATGGAGGTCGATGGGGATGAGGAGGACTCGGTCCTCACAATTTTCAATGCCAGGTCCACTAGTGTTGTAAAGTATGGACTCATTGATAATGTAATTGCCCCTTTTCTGTGATCTGAGAGTCTGAAGAAGCTAGGGTGCCTGGAGTTCATCTCCATTTCAGGCATTAGAGCAAGGTATCAAGAAATGGGTGGCAAACGGTCTGCAGGAGCTTAGTCTTCTTTGGCCATCTTCCGCTGTGGTTCAGTCTCGCCCTGTATTAAGTCCCATGAATGTCTTTTTTATGCATACAAACTCACAAATCTCAGTGTAGCGCATGCAGTATACAAATATAGATTTGACAGATGAAGATTGCTGGAAAGTTAGGATGTGCAACCATATATCCCAGTAACATCGAGCAGTATGACCTGCCCAGTATGACATTTTACCTTTGGACTATTTTTCTCTGTCTATATTAAACTTTCATGAAGTTTCACTCCATTTTCATCCTTAGTGACAAAATAATAGAAATGTACCTTAGTATAGACACCTTAAAAAAACAAAAAAAACAGGAGACGACAAAGCTTCTAATTAAGGAATATATATTTAATGACATAATATAATTAAACCAACATCATAATCATATCAAGTGATGCAGACAAAATATTCTTAGATGCTAGCAAAATGCACTATGACTTATATTAAAATGATTTATTTTATTATTCCGAAATCAGTATTGTGTAGAAGAAGCTCAAAGGATTCTTTACAGTCTAAAATTGCAAAAAATAGACACAATTTCTTTTATCTTAAATAATACTTTAGGTGTGTTAGTGCATTTCCACCTATTATACTCTTAATTCTGGGTTATAATAATGTCTAAAATCCAAGCTCATAATAAGCAATTACTTTAGATCAAAGTAACCTAACCCTGTTCTATATGACTATAAAAATACAAAGTTGCATTTGTGTTTTCAAGGATCTTGCTTGAAGTTAAAGTCATAGTTATCTGCAATATTACGGTTCCTTGCATTTATCAGAAACATCATGGCACAACATTCCACTCATAGCAGCTCTGGCTCTGGGCATAAGCATTTCAGTTCTTCCTCAGCTTGCTTACCTGCTTTGAACAAACACAGCATTAGCTCCTTTGGTACAAGCAAAGTATCTATCGGTCATAAGTCATTTCCAAGTTTTGGTAGTAAAAGTGTGTATGGTGTTGGATCCGGAAGTGGACACAAAATGTCAGTTGGAAGTTACTACTCAGTGAGAAGTGGTCATGGATATGATTCTAGTAATGGACATGGTTTTGGTGGATCTAGCTATGGATTCGGGGGATCATGCAGCTCTGGAGGGATCACCCCTGTCACTGTGAACCAAAGCCTGCTTTCTCCTCTCAACTTGGAAATTGACCCAAATATCCAACGAGTGAGGACGGATGAAAAAGACCAAATTAAAGGTCTCAATAACAAGTTTGCCTCCTTTATTGACAAGGTAAGTTTCAAGGCTTTGTATCATAAATGTGATTTGTATGAATGTTTTTGGCTACCAATCTGTAGAACTGATGAGTCTAAATATGTTAAATAAAAACAATCAGAATTGTGTTCTATGTCGATGTACATAAAGCACCCTGCAAGAAAATTACTAGTGGCTCCAGTTGAGACACTGATATTCAATTTTAGTGTGCTTTTAAAAAAGTTAGGATTTTTATTGATATCTACAATCTTTAAATTATGTTTTGCTTTATATCATTTTTACTAAAATAACTTAGCTATTCTTAACCATTGTAAAGTATTTGTTATATCATGGAATAACTGAAAGTTGTACAATCGTTTATAGATACTCACTGCTGTAGCTGAAACTATGATTTAAATAACTAGATCAATCAATCTATATTTATCTATCTATCTATCTATCTATCTATCTTGTATCTATGTTAGCTTTGTTTAGGCATTGCTAATTATCATAGATTCTCACTTACAAATTTTCAAATGTTTTAGGTACGGTTTTTGGAACAGCAGAATAAGATGCTTGAGACAAAGTGGGCTCTTCTCCAAGACCAAAAAATATCCCGGTGTCAAATTGAACCACTATTTGAAGCTTTTATCAGTAATCTCCGTAGACAGCTTGAGAATCTGGGATGCGAGAGAGCTCGGCTCGAGTCAGAAAGAAGGACTACGGAGGATACCGTGGAGGAATTCAAGGGAAAGTAAGGGGACCTAGATAAGCAGAGACATAATGCAGGCAGTGTTGTTATTAATTACAAATTGATCTAATTTAGCTTATTAAAAAAATCTAAGATGGAATTTTGCTTTAGAGAGAAATGCCATACAAATAATCTTTGTTGTGCTATGGAGTGGAAATCTTTACTTTACTTCAGTATATGTGATATTTTTTTTTAAAACAAAAAGTTTATTTTTAAATGCTAATTCTGTGCTGACTTAATAGAATGCTAATTCTGCTTACATTGATTTGGATTCCATTCCAATAGATATGAAGAGGAATTGAACAGACGCACTTCTGCAGAGAATGAATTTGTTACCCTTAAGAGAGTAAGTGATATAACCATGATAAGGTTAATTATCTAATTTTCTAATTAATAAAACAGTGATAAATCTGTGTACATGACTATATCTAAATCTGTTAGTCATTAGCCTTTTATCCAAATAATCATTCCAAACTACAACTCAAACAAAATGCAAAGTTCTATTTACATAAGTATTAGTTTCCTTACGATAGACTTTTTCAGTTTAACCCCTTAAGCACCAAACTTCTGGAATAAAAGGGAATCATGACATGTCACACATGTCATGTGTCCTTAAGGGGTTAATCTTGACAAAACTGCTTTTATCTCTAATATAGGAATCCTATTTTTGGCTGACTCACGTTGCCAAAAAATATTATTTTAAGGTTGTCAGTTACACCAAGTAGGGTCTCTCCACAATGTTAAAATATATTTATACATCTCTATCATTCAGTTTTATATATATCGCCTTTCCTGAAATCTTCCTCAATGCAAAGATAATAACAGAAGGTATCCATTTATCTCTCATACAGGATGTAGACACTGCTTTTATAAGCAAGGCAGAACTTCAAGCCAAGGTGGATTCCCTTACAGATGAGATCAACTTCCTTAGAGCTTTATTCGATGCTGTACGTAATTGTGTACTTGAAAAATCTGAAATGACATAATTTTCTTGAATGTAATCGTTTCAGTTAATAGGATGCTAAGCCCATAAAAAAGTGAAAAGTTAAATTTAGTTGAAAGAGAGAGAGAAAAAAAATCTACCATAACAAAAAGCTTTAGTAAGTTAGTTTTGCCACAATTAGATGTTTCATCCTTTTTAATCCATATCATGCATCCATGCCCAAAGTATGTTTGTGTCTATATAAGTGGTTTGGCAGCTGCTTATGAGAAGGATAGCGGTGCAATGCAGTTACTTAGAGTTTTTACAACTGCTGTAAACTGAACCTTTCAGACTTTGATGACATAAAATGTAGTAAGTTTATAACAGGTTTTTTTTTGTTTTTTTTTATATAAAAAGTATGTACAAGCTTTGAAAGAACATTGAATACATAGTGTACTTACAAACTATAGATACATGTAAGTCAAAATATGAGCAAAGTAATCTTTACACTGTATTAACAGAACTATTGTATTTTATCTCTTTAGGAAATAGCCCAGCTCCAGGCTCAGATCTCAGACACCTCAGTGGTTGTGTCAATGGATAACAGTCGGGATCTGGACCTGGATGGAATCATTGCTGAGGTCAAATCTCAATATGAGGACATTGCTAACAGGAGCAGAGCTGAAGCTGAATCACTGTACCAATCAAGAGTGAGTCTGTATTGTTATATATTAATATCTCCAAATTCATTTTTACGAATTTGAACTCCTTTGTCATTTTGTTTTCCTTATCTCTGTGCACTCTCACCAGAAGGTTCTATTCAGAAATCCTCAAGTTTAATTTGCCTCCATATATGTAAATGTTATTTTGAATCAGTATTCCAAAGTCTATTCTCCTTATTTTCAGTACCACCTGTATTTGCTCTATTCCAACATAGCAATATCATTTTATAATTTTTCACTCTATATTCTGCATATTTTTTCTGTACTACTACCAAAGTCTCAATTTTTGTTGTCACTCGCAGCAATTTTTGTTTCCCACCACTCCCTCTACAAATAACAAAATCTCATTTCCTTTCCTACTTGCCCTCAATTACTGGTAGTGAAAGTATCGTCATCCATGACAAAACTCAAGTGTTAATTTCAAAATCATGTAGCCTACAACTGTGAAATAAGACTTTGTAAAGGTCCAGAGATGGAACATACATCTGTAATTCATTTGCTTGTAGGCAAATCCCATTATTCTAAGACAGTACCAGAAAACCCTTTGTCATGAGATTTACATCTGACATTGATCTGAGTTTGGTCTTAAAAACATATTTACAGTGTGATTTACTTATATTTTAATTGTGTATTTTTAGTATGAGGAACTGCGCATGACAGCAGGTAAACATGGTGATGATCTGCGTAACACTAAACATGAGATTGCTGAGCTTACTCGCATGATCCAAAGACTCAAGGGAGAAATTGAGAATGTGAAAGAACAGGTAACTGTTTTGACAGTTTTTTTTCTTACTGCTGAAAAGGTTGGACATTGGATTAATTGCGAAGATACAGCATAACTTTGTTAATTAAGCATGATATGTCTCAATGCTTTTTGCCAGAGAGCGAAGTTGGAATCAGCTATAAATGAGGCTGAAGAACGTGGGGAATCTGCTGTCAGAGATGCCAAAAACAAATTATCTGAGTTGGAAGGTGCTCTGCAGAAGGCCAAGCAGGACATGGCTCGCCAACTGCGAGAATACCAGGAGCTGATGAATGTGAAACTGGCTCTGGATATTGAGATTGCCACCTACAGGAAGATGCTGGAAGGAGAGGAATGCAGGTAAATGTAACTAAATTGGATTTTACTATAGAAATAATATCAAACTCCAAAGTACCAACAAATAAAATAACATATCTAACTTAGTAAACTTAGAACAGTGTGAGAGCTCCAATTTTGATCAAACTATAGAACACGGTCTGATGAGATAATTCCAAAAACCCCTTCTAGGTTTTTAGGCAACCAAATAGATAACTATTTCAGTGCTAGGAATTGAATTCACTCTGTAAACTACAGGGATTACAAGGACACTGAAGCTGTGCTTCAAGGGAAACTATAGTACCAGGAAAACAGAGATGTTTTCTGGTACTATAGCTCCCAATAGTGCCCCGCCCCCCCCTCTGCCAAGCCCCCTCCCTGCCTGCTGGTTCAGCCTCTGCCATCAGCCGGGGGGGAGACTTAATGAAAATATATATGGCGATGGCCGCTCTCGCTTTAGTACTTCCTCCATAGGAAAGCATTACATAATGCTTTCCTATGGGGCTTTGGGGGACGCTGGATGTCCCCAAAGTCACCTAATGACCCGGATGTCCCTCTGTTGGCTGTCTGGTAGACTGAAACTAGAGGTGGAGTTGACCCTTAAAGGTAATTATTGCAGTTTATTAAAAACTGCAATGATTACCTATGCAGGATTAAGGGACATGGGACACTCCACCCAGATCACTTCAATGAGCTGAAGTAGTCTGGGTACCTAGTGTCCCTTTAAAGTGGTATTTTAGCAATGTGTTATTTTATTGTAATTTAAAGGATGGCACTCAATATATGAAGACTCAACATAGTCCAGAGATGCAAACTCCTGTAAATTTGATTATAAAAAAGAGACTAGAACACACAATTATGACAAAGACTGACAAGAGAGGCAACAATTAGAGGAGAAGCTTGGATATTTCACAAAAATGTTATGCCATAGTCAGTTGAGTCAGCCATGCAGGTGTCTAACAAAGCCCTGCCACGAAAGTTTGAGAGTGGAGCCCAGCAGACCACTAATGTGGAGGCATAAGGTCACCCCACAGCACCAGGACAAACCATAAATGGTCAGCAGGGTCCATCTTCAATGTCTTAAGAGGCAGAGCTTCACTGCATTGCATAGCTTCAAGGCAACGGTCATCTGTGGCCCCAAGATTGATCTCCTACAACTTTGCTCCATTTGAGCCAGATCCGGCAAGAGAACCCCACAAGGGCTCTTCCACCTCCCACACAGCTTCACTTCAGGTAAGGCGTAAGACTGGTCACTCAATCCTGCAGAACTCCAGCGAGCTGTTTGTGGTAGACAAAAGAAGTCTAAGGGCATATGCAGGTGGAACAGGACACCATACTCTGCTGGAATCGGAGAAGCACCCAGGATCTGCCATTTTGTGTGTGTCAAGTTACTGTGAATATGCTGCGCCCACAGCTAAGCAAGGGAACCTTCAGTGAGTAGACCGGGATCAGCCCCACCAAATGGCACCAATCAGTGGCACCAAATGGCAGCTTGGTTTGGGAGCAGAGACCGGCCACTTCTCCTCCTCTCCAGATTCACCAGACCACAAAGCCAACTCTAGATTCTCCAGCGGCAGGGACACCTAAGAGGCATCAAAACCCACACAGGTGCATCCCTGCTTGGTCTGTTAGCCCCTTAGCGGCAGCTAGACACAGCGACGGGGGTACATTTATTGAAAAAAGTCAATTAGAGTTAGTGAGGTGCCGGAGCTCACCTGGGATGCATCCGTCCAGCATGACAGTCAGGCTCTGCCCCCCCGTTTGTCATTTTAAATGCAGGGTGGGAGATGTGAAATACTATATGCAATTATATAAGCTATGTAAGACTGAGTTTTAACTTGCAATGTATTTTATCATAGGTTGGCTGGAGATGGAAATGGTTCGGTCAGCATTTGTAAGTACTAAATGCAAATTTTGTTATTAATTAGTTTAAATAATAAAAGCATTGGCATAACATTGAAATGGAATTAAGTGTAATCTGTCTGATCAAGTCTTTTGAAGAGAGAGACAACTATGTTGGAACTTTACTTTTTTACTTTTAATTATCAACTTCATTTTGCCATGGGCAATATTACCTATGCTATATTAGTAACAAATATCTATACAGTTTTTAGCATATAAAGATAACACAATGTTCATAAAACTATTCCATTGTTTTTGGATTCCATCAATACATTCCTAGCAATCATTTTAATTTGTAGAGAGTACATAACTTAATTCATTTTTGCAGTGCGGAGGAATCATGGGGCTACGAGGGAGAGGGGGAGGAAAAATACAAGCATGAAAGTGTCACCCCAAAAGATGAACTCTAGACATATAAGTTTGTCGCCTGCCTCACAAAATCTACATGCTACAAATTAATTTTATTGTTTACCACAATATTATTTCATAACCACCCAATTAAACCTATTTACCTATTAAACTCTAAAGGATATAAGTTCTATTGCCATAACGGTCAAGGTCAAGTCAGAGAAACACAAGTTGGAAAATGCCACCAAAAGGTGAACTCTAAAAATATATGTTTGTTGCCTTTCTTCCAAAATCTTCATGCAAAAATAAATTTTATGGTTTCATCACACTATTAATATTCTTTCTGGACCACTCCAACCTATTAAAATCTCAAAGATATATATTATATTCCCTTCAAGGTCAAGCTCAAGTTAACAAAGCAAAATAAATATCTTGAGAGATGAATAAAAAAAACAAGAATTTTCTTTAGTCAGAGAGGATAGGAGAAATGCTTTGAATCCACAAGGTGCTCTCCAGCTAGTAGTAGTTAGTATTTATTCTAATTGTGTAGACCATTCAAATTGTTGATGATCAATATGTGATTTATCTTTTTCTCAGCTGTGTTGCATTCCAGCACTGGAGGATCACATGGTGGAAGTGGACATGGGCACCACCAGAAGAATGGATTTAGCTCTGGGAGCATCTCAATGGGAAAATACAGCTCAGGGCATGGACACTGCTCCTAATCATTTAGGGCACTGTTTGTGTTTTTATTTTTTCTCAACAAGCAACAGCTAACTTTTTGATTCTTTTTCATCTTTTGTGTGCATAACAGGTGTGCAAGGAAATCTACTGCTTCTGTAACGTGCATACAAAATGAAAATCATGCAATTAATAGAACATTCTTTTCTAACTCTCAATTGATCAATAGCTTTCTCTATATCTACTTAGATGACATTTAGGAAAAATTAATTTGAAGACATTTTAATGATTTTTTTCAGAGGTAACTACAGAAAATATTTCAAAGTTTTTTGTTTTGTTTTTTGTATTTGTTTTTGTATCCCCACAATGCATATCCCTTAAAGTACTGTTAAATAAATAAAAAAAAACTGTAATTGCAATACTCGTTTATAAACAGTTCATGCACGTCTCATTGAATAAAAATAGCTAAGTGTTATATGAATTTAAATTAATGAAATTGGCATGTTATTGTCCATAATTTAGTGGGCCTGATTTGCCTAAATCCATAAAAATGAACAAACTATCTTGACTAACTTTTCTGATTTTGCATCTCATCAATAAACTTCCAGTTTCATGTGAAAAAGTGGTTTTGTTATCTTTGTTTTTTTTTTCTTGACATTTATTAAACACATTCTTTCTATTTTTGGTTAAAATGAAAACTAGAAAAAATTGACATTGTGAAGTTAGTTAAATTTGTTTTGAAAATTAGAATATAAAAATACTAGTAAAACAGTAAAAAAACAAGTAGGGAAGAAACAGAGCAGGGTTAACAATAACGTAAATTTTGGTGGCTGCCTAAGAGTCAAGGGTTAGACAGGGTCCCTGGCGTCATGCATTTACCTGGCCCCATTTACCATCCATATGTGAAAAATGATGGGGGGTGGAGGGAGGGGTGTCCAAAAAGGTAACCAACATAGGGCCCCATGTAACAAGTATGACAGAGAGAGTGAACGACCAACATAGTGAAAAAGAGGGATAGAGAAAAGCAGCTGGAAAAGAAAAAGTGAGAGAGAGAAAGGGGAAGGGACATAAAAACAAGTGAAGTAAGAAAAACTACATGGGCCTCAAGCCATCCAACCTGTCCCCGGTTTGACATTTGCTTTAAGATATAAGGAAAGAAAAATTAAAACTATACAGGAAAAAATAAAAAGACAATGGAAATGAGGAGTAAAATAAACATACAGAGGAACTAAGGACAAATAGATCGAAGATGAAAAAAGGAGAATAAAAGTAACTCCTGAGAAAAGTGTGGAAAAGTGGGTACAAAATGGCATTGATAAAATGGGTTAAAGGAAAGCAAAAACAAGGGATAAATGCACATGGAATAGAGTACGAAAATACAAATTAAAGTAAAAATGCTTATTAAAAAGATACATAAAATGACGCAGAAGAAACAGAAAAAGATGCAATAGAGATCAATGGAATCACAAATGGAGTTGAGAGTCCTGAATATGACACCTGGGTAACATTTGAAAACAGCAAAATTTACATTTATACTAAAAAATAAGATAAATGTGAGTTTTATCCCAACATTGTAATGGGCATCAAAATGTGTGAATCCCGAGCTTATTACAAGTCTTCATATATAGATCTACTCAAAAAGTCATATAAATTATACATTTAGTTTAAAATAAAGCCACAAAAAGTGGTGTTCTCCATGTACCTTTCCACTTTTAGTATGCATTGCTTTTTTGAAAATATCACCCATATTTATATTTTAATTATTATTATTATTATTAAATCTCCTTTTAGCAGACAGTGTATATATATTTTTTTAAATTCTTTATTTTTGTAGAGCATAAGCTTTTAACAGTCGTTTGTGAGGTACCCCAAAGGCAATCCTCCAACGCATTTTGAACGGTTGAACATAAAGATACATGAGTAATCTAGCACAAATTTTATGTTTAAGGATAGTTTGAGTATTAACATGGATATGCTGCGTGGAATATCGATAAGTCACAGGAAAAGTTGCCCAAGTATTAAATTTTACAGTACAGTAAGTGCTCAAAATAGAAATGTTAGGGTACCTGCTAGGGCATGGCATGGTTACAACTGTTTAGGTAACTAGTATTAGGTTAAATGCCAGGCAATACACTTTGGAAACTGCTTAAGCAGTAACTGCTCGGTTACATGGTAGGCATATCACGGTTGGCACTATTTAAGTAGTGAGTGTTTGGTTACATACTAGGCATACAGGAGTTGCTGTAAAGACCACTGGGGACGAGCCAGGCACTTCGTAGACACCTAGAGACTTCAACTAAGAGGCAGTTAAATCAGGCTAAGGTAATTGGGCAACAGGCCTAATGCAAAGCATAGAAATTTGAAAGCAAATAAAAATTGGCATATTAAGTGATGTGTGAAGATTGGCAGCCCGGTCATGTGCTGCAGGGTTGTGTGCTTGGCGTCTGGTGAACAGTTTGTTTCCCCTCTAAGGTTATCTCCCGATTTCTTGTTTGTGCGCCGCCAGGGGACGCAGCCAAGACCATCAGAGGTTTCTGTAGCTGAACCGGAGCGTAAATTCCCAGGACAATTAGAGCGTCCCCACAGACAGCATTGGATGCCTCAGCAGTGCTGCCTGCTGCGCGAGGTCTTGGCAAGCTGCCATCTTAGGTGAGTGCAGCGTACCCTGGGAGGTCTGTGTGGCGGGCAGAGGGTCCGATGATTCTCTTGTATCCTTCCTCTCTCCAGTCAGGCATTTAGGCTAGCAGTGTGGCTCTAGTTTGCTGGAGTGGTTAGTTAGGTGCTCTGACCCTCCGCCATCTTAGGTGTGGGCCTTGGGCATTTGACGCCCCCCAGTCGGCTCCTCAGCCAGCTCGAGTCCGTCCCAGTCCCAATGGGTGCCGGGATGACCCCCCCCCCGGACCAGAGGGGGGGAAACGGGACCACAAGTCCCCAGCTCTCTAGTGTGTGGCAGTGTGGTGGGGAGTCAGGGCAGCGGCCGTCCACCCCGCTCCCCCCAAGGTAGGCCGCAGCCTCCAAAGTTCCCTTCTGGAACTAACAGTAACATAAATGAAGCTGAATGTACGGATCCTAGTCAGGGCCCCTTGGTGGGGAGGACTGGGCTGGTAGAGGAACGGTCCCCAGCTAAAACATAACTTCACACAGGCCCCACATGGGTTAATATATCAAGCTGGTGTTGATGGTAGGAGCAATGAATAATGATTAGATGTTACTATATAGTCTAAAGTGTGAAAACATCCCCCAGACCTTTGTACCAATGCTGAGAGTTGGCAAGTGGGCAGGCGACAATTGCCTCCCAGTAGCCACTAGTACGCAAGGGGGGTACTGGGAGGAAATTACATCTTCTTTGCTTAATTGGATATCAGCCCTAAAGGTGAACCTTTTGGACAGGTTCACATTAAATAGGATTGCTACATCTAAGTGCTCTTGCAATATTTTACTGTCCACTTTTATAGATGGAAGCTGGGTGTAGTTCACTGGGGTTGCAGAGACGTAGTAACCTTCACGGAAGCCATGTCTTATCACCCTGGGCCCCTATGAAGCTCTCCATAATTTGTCAAACCCACTTGTTCCCTTGAGTTTGGTACTGTTAAACTATCGAACACAGACCACCCCCTGGCTCATTAACTTCACAGAAAACATTTAACTCAAGTGCTCTCTCTGAGTGGCCATCATTCATATAGCTGAAACACGTCTTGTCTCCCGAACACAGGCAGCGGTACTTGGTCGCCGAGTGCATGGAACTATACTTCGGAAACTTTGCCTTGTGAACCCGGGAAAAATTGCACCTCTGTCTACTCCATCCCCAGACAACTCAGGAGAGCTCTGTTCAGGAAAAAAGACTCTCCAAAATGGGGAGACCATTCGCTCCCTACGAGCCAGTGCTACCTCTTTTCATGGAACTATTTTGGGCAGCTGCCACATGTGCTGTCAGTCAAAACTTTACCCCATTTGCGATTCGGCTATACTACATGGATTTGAGTGCTATTTGGACAACTTGGGCGCTCAGATCTGGACTATCTGGGGATACCATGATTGTGAGGGTCTCTATATGTTTTATATGTGTTTTGGGGTGTTTTATTGTAAAATCTTGTACCTCTAGTGCCTGGGAGATAATTAGTTTAAGCAAAAGTACACACACTTTTCTCCCAGACACAGAGACGCCTGGGCAGGGCTACTATTGTATTGTATGGAGAACCCATGCTGGTTGTCTGTGTATATAAGCAGGCAACTTGGTCTTAATAAAACAGTTCATCTTCTACCCAATACGACTGGTTACGTCCATGATAATGGGGGAAACTCTACACAGATCAATAGCACTTTCACACTATCTGGAACTAGGACTAGTGGAGGATCAAAGAAGCAGCGACAAAAGCCTAGTGACAGTAACTTTCAAGAACTTGGTTTACTCAGATAGGTTACTGTGTAAAATACTGGGCTTTAGCTAGTTTTATTTATGTTATGCAGATATTGTGTAGTTGCCCATAGGCAGTATAGGTATACTAATATTTTTTTTCTGAGGATTCACAGTCATTACGGGTTCTAGGCAAGGCTTTAGGTCTATAGTTGTATATATTTATACACTTTATACTTTTTATTACTTTTCAGACATTGACCGTGCCTAATTGAATTAAAGTCTGGACTCTGAGTTAGTAGTGATATTCATTTAGACCTAATGGTTGGAGGTTAGCCATTTGGCTTTAGTAATTCTCTATCTGTTTCTGACTGTTTATTTTGGGAACACGTTTATATACCTATACCGTTCTATTTACTATAATTTATCTGACATATTATTTTCTATTTAGTTAGACTTCCAGTTGATACTCTTGTGTTTGGACTTATAATCCAGCAGTTTGAGGATCTTTTTGTAGTTTTAAACACTAGGGGTTAAGCCCCAGGACACCTCTGGAGTGTCGTATAAGGTGCAGCGTTCTATGGGTAAGTGGACTAGTCCTTTTTTGAACAGCCACCACTTGTAGACGTAGCTTTCATTTGGAATACTAATATTTCTTAATATTTTTCCAAACCACATCCCTTAGGTGAAATATGTCTATTTGCAATGGTAAATGAGCCCCTCTTACTCTAAACCTGTGTGGTAGAGAATTGATATTACAGATCTACATGAATTTTGCACCTTATACGCCGATCCTGGTCAGTTAGGTGACCGTGCAACCAACCTGTATTCAATGACTAGTATACGTGAAAAACTTCAGTGTTAGTAACTTTACTATAATCCACAAGGTCTCAGCTTGGACTTTTGTGGGAATGATCCCTAGATTAATATGGCTTTTTGAAAGTAGTTGCAACGTAAATAAGTGCCGATTGAGGGTAATAGGATTTATCTCATAACTGTTTGCTGAATAGTTATGACTGTTTTATGTTTTTTAGTCCTTCAGTGTGACACATAGCTAGCTGTAACCAAAGTAAAGATTTTGTTTTGTTATACAGCCTCACCCATTTTGTTTCTATAAACTATGCATTACTATAACATTGCTTCACAGTAAAATAGTAGCCACTATTAAATGCATGCTAGCTTTGATAATGTAGGTGGGTAACTGTTTTATTTTCTATGAAACAAGGTGGAAATGATTGTGTCAAACAAGGATCATAAGAGATAATAACAGGGTCCTTTTGTAAACATGACGCTCATGTCAAGTATAAAAAGAAACATATATCATGAGATCTACAACAGTCTGGTAAAAAACTGCATCTGTTATCCTCATCTCCACTGCGAGCAGAAGCATCATGTCTCACCACTCCATCCTTGGAACTTCTGGACATAAGCACTTTAGCTCCTGTTCAGTAGCTTTACCTAAACATGGGAGCTCACACCACACTTTTTCACACTCCTCAACGGCTGCATCTCATGGTCACAAAGCATTGCACTGCTTTAGCAGCCGAAGTGCCCAAGGTATGAGTTCCAGGGGACACAAGATCTCAATTGGAAGTTTCCATTCTGGAAAAAGTGGACATGGATCTGGACATGGATCTGGACATGGTTTTGGAGGAATTGGCAACGGATTTGGGGGAGCTAGCATCACTTCAGTTACTGTAAACCAAGGTCTGTTGGCTCCTCTTAACTTGGAGATTGATCCAAGCATCCAACGAGTGAGGACTGAGGAGAAGAATCAAATTAGGGGATTGAATGACAAATTTGCTTCCTTCATAGACAAGGTAGGAACATTTCAAACTCTTAAAGAACACAGAGTAATAATAATGACAATAATAATAATAGCCAAACTCAATATAAGCAAAATGTGCAAGAAGAAATGACTGTAGGCAAAATTATCTCGTCTTGCACTGAATTTAAGTTGTGCCAAAGTGACATGTTGTGTAACAATGTTGCTTGTAGATATGAGTCCAATATAAGTCTCAAAGAGAACAGAAGTGCATATATGGTGTAAATCTGACAGATATCTGATATAAGTAAAAGTATCAGTAGAAAAATGCACATTCACTTGGTAAAGAGCTGTCCGACCAGCTCGGTATTAGAGAGTAGGCGCAGTGTTATCCCCACTTTGGATATGCAATGCGGGAACACACAAAAGACAGAAACAGGCAACCAATAGTATAACTCTGTATTTTTAACATTTTGTTAGATGTTTATATCTTATATTCACAGTTTTTGTGAGCACAATAAGCTGCTCATACATTTTTTTAAGTATAAGATATATTCACATAACAATATTTAGATACTATATTGCTGTGTCACACCTATTTGTTTAAACAGTCTAAATAGGGAAGTAAGAGCTACTGGAACAATATGTCATTATCCACAGAACAAGACTGAAATTTAGGAAGATTTTTTTGGGTGATTGAAGGAAAAAGGAGGATTTAATATAATAGTGTAAAAAACATAATAGGGTTTTTAGTTTTGAAGGAAATCACTTTTTAGAAGAATTTTCAAAAGGCCAAGTGATTGAGAGTGGATTTAAGAAATTGTTGGTTATTGTTGGTTATTACAGTGTGTACCATTTCTGAAAAAAAAAAAGAACCTAAACCCATATGTGCAAAGACTTTTTGTATGCTTTTAAAGGTGTTAGCATTGTGTTGTAATAGTAGTGCACAGTTTCATGTATGGTTTTCGTGATCTTTAGCTGGCTTTTTGTATTCTTCCTACCCCTCATTATATTTTATTTAATCTTTCTATATGATTGTATATACACTAATCAGCCACAACATTAAAACACTGGCAGATGAGGTGAATAACATTGATTGTATCATTACAGTGGCACCTGTCATGGGGTGGGATATACTAGGGAACATGGGTCAATCTGATCTTGAACTTCATGTGTTGGAAGTAGGAGAAATGGGCAAGAGAAAAGATCTGAGTAACTTTAACATGGGCCAAATAGTGCATACAGCATCTCCAAAATGGCAAGTCTTGTGCGATGTTTCCATATGCAGTGGTTAGTACCTACTAAAAGTGATGTAAGGAAGGTCATGGGTGAACAAGACTCATCAATGCTCATGGGGAGCAAAGACTAGCCCACGTGGTCCATTTAAACAGAAGAGCTACTGTAGATCACATTATTGAAAAATTGTATTCTGTCCATGATAGAAGGGTGTCAGAACACACACTGTTTGCCGTGTATGAGGCTGCATAGCTGCAGACCAGTCAGAGTGCCCATGATAACAATTGTCCTGAAATCTCCTTCAAAGTTAGTGACATAATGGAACCATGAAGCAATGGAAGAAGGTTGCATGGTCTAATGCTTCACATTTTCTTTTAGATCAGGTGGATGGCCAGGTGCGTGTGCATAGTTTACCTGGGGAAAAGATGATAGCAGGATGCACAATGGGAAGAAGGCAGGCCAGTGAAGGCAGTGTTATGCTCTGGGCAATGTTCTGCTGGGAAACCTTGGGTCTTGGCATTTATGTGGATGCTACTTTGACATGTACCATCTACCTAGAGATTGTTGCAGGCCATGTACACCCCTTCATGGCAGTGGTGGCCTCTTTCAGTAGGATAATGCACCTTGCCACACTGCAAAAAATGTTCAGGAATGGTTTGAGGAACATGACAAAGAGATCAAGATTTTGCCTTGGCCTCCAAATTCTCCAGATCTCAATGCGATTAAAGATGTGCTGGAACAGCAAATCTTATCCATGGCAACACCACCTTGCAACATGTAGATCTGCTGCTAATGTCTTGATACCACAGGACATGTTCAGATGTTTTGTGGAGTCATTGCTTTGACACATCAGAGCTGTTTTGGCAGCACTAGGGGTCCTACACAATATCAGGCAGGTTTTTTATGTTGTGGTTGATCAGTGTACTCTGGTTATTTTTTTCTGTCTCTGAATTTTTAAATATTTCTTAATTTAGGTGAGATATTTAGAACAACAGAATAAGATGCTGGAGACTAAATGGGGTTTTCTACAAGAACAAAAAAGTGCTCGGTTTCAGATAGAACCATTGTTTGAGGCTTTTATCAGCAACCTCAGGAGACAGCTGGAGAGCCTGGGTTGTGAGAGAGAACGTCTAGAAGGAGAAAGGAACAGTATGGAGCAAAATGTTGAAGAACTAAGGAGAAAGTATGATTTATTTTCTTACACTATTCTCATTTTGCTGTGGCTGTATTAAATAATTTTAACTTTATATTAAAGCTACCAACTGATATATATTTAAGAACAGAATTACAGCTCTTACAAGGAAAAAAAATGAAATGCAATTTTTATATGTATTCATATAGGTATGAAGAAGAAGTGAACAGACGAACAACTGCAGAGAATGAGTTTGTTGTTCTAAAGAGGGTAAGGGGAATCTTACATAAATGTGAATGAATAACAGGCACTGATATTAAACTGTGTCCACTTATAATATAATCATCTCTCTTTCAGGATGTAGATGCAGCTTTTATGAACAGAGCCGAGTTACAAGCAAAGGCTGATTCTCTGAATGATGAGATCAACTTCCTGAGGACCCTCTTCGATGCAGTAAGCATTTTTTCCCCTTAATTATTTTGTTAGATTCATTTTTAAAATGAATGAATGCCTCATTTATAATTGAATTATTTAATAAGCTTATTTATATTTTCATTGTGTTGGTTGTTCTTAAAAGCAGGTATGATGAAAAATACACTTTACAATTAACCTATGAATGTGCTCTGCTCTGCCTTGTCATCCTACAGGAAATTTCCCAGCTCCAGGCTCAGATCTCAGACACCTCAGTGGTTGTGTCTATGGATAACAGTCGGGATCTGGACCTGGATGGAATCATCGCTGAGGTCAGATCTCAATATGAGGACATTGCTAACAGGAGCAGAGCCGAAGCTGAAGCCATGTACCAGTCACGGGTATGTCGATAATTTTAAAATTTCGACCAGGCAATAAATAAATATTTCATTATAAAAAAAAACAACTTTAGTAACATTTAGTTTAAACATTTGCTGTTAGTTTGAGGAGCTTCGTACAGCTGCTGGAAGAAATGGGAATGATCTTCAGAGCAGCAAAGATGAGATCTGTGAGCTAAACCGAGCAATTCAGAGACTGAAAGGAGAGATTGACAGCGTCAAAGCTCAGGTAAATATACGCATGTAATTAGAGTGTTAACCATGCACTTATAGAATATCTTGACTGAAGTAATGCTGATTGTGTAATGATTGTTTATATAAGTATTTTCTGAAAGGATTTCAGAGACAATACAGTACATTACACAGACATAATAAATAGACAACATAAATAGTAAGTAGCAAAAACTGGTAAAGCCTAGTTAAGCACAAAAAACACAGTGAAATTTTATAAGCTATGTATATAGCATGTGTAACAATGTCTAGCAACCATGACCCTTGTAAGATGAGCAGTTAAGGTGGTTCATCAAGGTTTTGGAGTAGTGAATGCCTCTACTATACTAAATCTGTTTAACCCTTTAAGGACCAAACTTCTGGAATAAAAGGGAATCATGATATGTTACACATGTCATGTGTCCATAAGGGGCTAAATGGGTTGTCAGCATTTTATAAATAGAAGCTATGTAAATTAATAAATAAATGGAAAATGAATAGAAGCTGACATTATAGATTAGTGAAACTAATCTATAAGATAAGATAATGTTGCACTTGAGTATACTTTGGCTCCTAAAGAAGGGTACACCACAAAACAGTGTAAAACTGAAATGCTTTATTCCATTATTTAAAAGACAATGGCGAGGTAAAAAAAAAAGATATGATAAGTGCCTTATGAGTTTTGGGCTTAACCGATCTTTCATAAATTGTCAGAATTATTTTAAAATCTGCACAGTTCATACTAGCCTCCATCACAATCAGATTAGTTCCTCTCATTCTCTGGAAAATGCTTAAAATGTCCCAGCCACTCAATATTTTTATTTATTAAAGTTCAATGGAGACCTTGCATCTTCAAAGCATCATAAATATATCTAAATCTTACAGGGTTATTTAATAAAGTGAGAACTGACAATTAATTCAAAATAACTTTCAGGTTTATGAGCTGGACAAAATCTTTAAGTTGGCTATGATTTCAGTTGGACTGTTTTGGCTTAAATTTGAAATTCACTTTGAATTCTCATTTTAGTAACTAACCCTGAAAATATCTAAATAGATTAAAAGAGGTATTGACACACTGCAGTTAATAAAGTATTATTTTATTTCTAAAGCGTGCTGCCCTTGAAGGAGCTATAACTGAAGCTGAAGAACGTGGAGAAGCTGCTGTTAGAGACGCCAAGAACAAGCTTTCTGAGCTGGAAGGTGCTCTGCAGAAGGCCAAGCAGGACATGGCTCGCCAACTGCGAGAATACCAGGAGCTGATGAATGTGAAATTGGCTCTGGATATTGAAATCGCCACCTACAGGAAGATGCTGGAAGGAGAGGAGGGCAGGTAAATGTAACACGATTAGAAAGAGTGTAGATGTGCACTAACTTAGAGCTAGAAGAGACCCGAGAGCTTCTGTGAATGTTTGCAGTATGTTAAATATTTAATAGATATATAATATATTATAATATAATAGATAGATATTTAATTAGATATATATAGAATGTTCCAAGACTTGTGAAAAATAAAGAATCATAAAATGTTAAATCTTTTATAAAAAAAAAAAAAAAATAATAAAAACATATTATTATATTTCAGACTGGCTTCTGATGGACATGTTAACATATGTAAGTAAATACAATGAGATTTTATAATGTACTTTATACATTGTGTTTAGCTTCTTTCATTGCATATTTAGTGCAGCTGTCCCATTCCTTCACATAATAAAAACTGTAAAATACAAAAAAGTGGGTTATCACAGAAAAACACAATGCAATGGTATCTGAGATAGTAGCACAATAATAATAATGCAGAAAGATACCATGAAGAAAGGAATTGCTGACGGAATGTAAAAAATAATCTAATTAGAAACTTTTAAAAGCTCTAGAAAGAAATGCTCAGCTTTTAAAAGTAAAACTGGAGTTTTACTTTCCTTTAGGGTTAATCAATCATAGACCAATGTAATCAAATGACCCTATGGGTCACTATGTCTATATACAATAAATTCTGGTAAATTGCAAAAAAAACAACAATTTAGGCCTGAGATTGTATATTACTTGACTCAGCTCTATACCCTGTTTTAACATTTTGGCTTACTTTTTCAAAATGTGGTCTTCACTTCATTGTTTAGTGCATAGATTTAAAACTATTATTTAACATTTTATATTTTATTTCAGCTGTGCTACACTCCAGCACTGGAGGGAAACATTCCTCAGGTGGAACATCTCACGGTGGAAGTAGCCATCATAGCAAGGGAGGATTCAGCTCAAGAAGTCACCATGTATCCAAAGGCAAACACAGCTCTAGCCATGGACACCACTGCTAAAGTCAAAATGTAGATTGTAGTAAAAGCTCTGAGTATACTAAGTTTTATTCCATTTCTGCTGAAGAGTTGCAAATTTTGTTATCTTATATGCTTATATGTAACACACCACAATGTTATTCTCACAATTCTGCTTAATTTTAGACTTCCGCTCTCTCTGATACCTAATTTTCTTGCATCTTGAGTTTGTGACAGCTTTTCAATAAATTACTGCACACAAGTCGGCTTGAGTAATATGTTCTTGTGTTGTTTGTGTTGTTTTTCTGTTGTTTTTGTTTTAAGTCTATTAGGCATACAGATGTTATTTTCTCCTTTGCGGTGGATTACATTTTTTATCTTAATATTCAAAGTCAGGTTTGGCCCAAGCCATTGTGCCAGCTGGGTCCAAGGACACAGTGCTGCTGTATACCAGCTAGCCACCATAGCCCCTGCTCAAGAAGCCGCACAACCACACACATACACCATGCACCAACTCAAGAAACCACACTTATACACCTTGCAGCTTCCATTCACATAACAACATAAAATCAAACTATCCTTTGCTGTTCCCTTCTGTATTTCCCATTTAAACTTCCCTGTTAATGAGCCACAGTACAAAAATAAAACATAACCGCACATTGCATCCGCTGTTCAATTACCATAAAATCATCCTCCATTGCGTAAATATCGCAATACCTATTCTCCAAATTGTCCCATCATAGCCACCTACCACATTCCTCCAATTGATACACCTTGTACTCTGCATGGGAGCATGTACAAAGCTTCAAGAATAACAGCTGTAAATGGGAAGGTGGGAAGGGAAGGCCCAGAGCACACCAGCTATGTCCAATGTCCTTTGCAATACATATTGTATTTTATGTTTGTGGGGATTAAAGAGGAATTATATGCTAACAAAAAGCAAGTCAATTAACAAACATAATTAGCACTTTTATTTTAAATTCATAATTTAACTGTTAAAAAGTTAACTTGAATTTGCTGCAGAACTGGAGTTTGCAGCTGATTCTGAGTGTCCTCATTTCTGCCCAGTACAAACACCCTTATACATGCTGGGCAGCTCCCAACTGACATAGAAATCAGTAACAGTAAATTCTCGAGGTTTTAGTAAAAGTTTTCATTTCAGAAGACTGCTAAATTTATAATGGCAGAACAAGGTAACAGCACTTTAACAATCAAACTCTTCCATATTGCTGGAACAGGGGGCCCAAAGCTGTCCTTCAGTATCCCTGAGAGGAGGCAGGCGGCAGTGTGGGCAGCGAGGGAGGCTCTTCTTGCAGATCCCCACTCCTCCCTCGCGTGCCCTCTGTGATGCCAGGAGCCGAAATATGATGTCATTCCGGCCCCGGCATACTAAACAGCGCACCGGATGAGTGAGGATCTGCCCCACACTGGACCCCAGGGGGTAGGGAGGTTGGATGTCTAAGTCTGCGTGTCAGTGAGTGTGTGACTGTGTGTGTGTCTGTCAGTGAGTGTGTGTATGTATGTCTGTGAGTGTCTGCCTGCATGTTTGTGTCTGCCAGTGAGTGTGTGAGTGTTTGACTGTCAGTGTGTGTGCCTGTCAGTAAGTGTCTGCCTGTGTGTGTGTGTGTGTGTATGTGTATGTCTGTCAGTGAGTGAGTGTATGTCTGTCAGTGAGAGTCTGTCTGTGTGTGTATGTGTGTCCGTCAGTGAGTGACTGTATGTCTGTCAGTGAGTGTCTGTGTGTCTGCCAGTGAGTTTCTGTGTGTGTGTCAGTGAGTGAGTGTATGTCTGTCAGCGAGTGTGTGTCTGTCAGTGAGTGAGTGACATGAAGGGGGGGCCAAATTGGATCTTTGCCTAGGGCGGTGGAAATCCTTGCACCGGCCCTGGTAAAACCATATTAAAACCAAAAAAAGAAAACACATACAAGAATTCCAAAAAGTAAAAGAATGTCTACCAGCATTCACTTAAAGGATCTTGTATATTATCAGCAACCCTAATTAATCATCTCAGAAAAATAGTAAAATATAACTTTTAATAAAGTTAAAATAACTGTGAGAGTAAACTAAATATTAAAATTAAAAATCATAAGGGCTTACAATTAATTAACAGGCACGGACTACTAACCATTTGACCCATACATAGTGTGCAGTGCTGGCTGATGAAATTTAAAGATAGTAAATGCTTGGAATCTGATTCTTCCACCTTGACTCAATGAGCTCTGTTAATTTAACTACATGTATTCAATCTCTGACTCAAGGAGAAGTCATGTCTCACTTAACACCCTAAACCTACAGATACACATATTTGGGGAACAACAACCACTTGAAAGAGCGCAGACTCCACTTCTTGATGCTGTTACCCAATCACTGCCTTAGGTTAGATGCTTACCCTCTATTTTTGACAGACACATATTTTTCTAATACTTATCATTAGTCCTTACTATGTCAACAGATTGGTTTTATTGCATTCAAAACTGGAGGGGAGCTGCTCCATCTGTTCTTATAGACCAGCCTGCATTGGTATTGTGCACTCCACTCATAGACAATTCCAGGGTATTTATATTCTTTGCATTACACCTGCACAGTATCTCAAGAAGTTTTAACAAAAACTCTTATTTGAAGAATAGCACTGTGGATTTGCCTCACACCCAGACACTAACTAACTGCCATGTACTATAGCAAGAGGATGCATTGCCTCATTGGCATTTTTTTTTTCTATCTCCAGTTTAGTATAGAACCAGGCATTGCCCAAACTATCTGTCACAAGCACACACTATATTGTTGTCAATTAAAATAAACTGCCCTAATGATCCGTTTGCTACAATTGCAGCTCTCCTGGGGACCATATATTATTTTATTAATCTCTCATATATATGATAAGGCTTTCTACTCAGTACTCTTGCTTTTAATGATTAACTTAGGTTTTTGTTTTACATACACACATACATAAGATTAAGTCGAGGGGCCATAGGGAGGAGTTTCAAGCCTTCTATTCATACCTATTCAATTTAACACAATCACATCAAGGAAAGGGCCTCTTAGCAGCACCGGAATAACATTTTGGAGTTTCTCAAGCAACACATATCTTGTAAGCATTGAAGCATTGAAGAGCTGGAACAACCCCTGACTCTCGTAGAGCTCAAAGGAGCTCTTATACTATCCAAATCAAATCACGCCCACCCTCCCCTTAGAACTTGGGGTTTCTCACTTTACACTGCCCCATGGGAATGCATCCAAGTCAATGGCATATTCTCATCTCCATTCCCCATCAGGAACAGAACCTGGCATGATTGTCCCCTGTCCCCCTTCTGTTTGCCCTCTCTCTAAAATCATTTCTGGAGGTGCTCAGACAGGACGGGGTATAACAGGGTTTACGCTAGGCCGTGGAGAGCACCATGTCGCAGCCTATGCTGACAACATGCTCTTCTTTCTCGAAAATTCATTGGTTTCTCACCCCAACCTCTTAGAACTTTTTTAAACATTTGGTCAGTTCTCAAACCTCAAACTAATCTTGGACAAGTCTGGGGAATTGGCCATCACACTCCTGTGAAAGTCCACATGCCACTTACTCATGCAATTCTCCTTCACCTGGTGTGAATCTAAGCTTCAGTATCTCAGTACATGGCTGCCTAGAGACCTTTCACAAATCTGCCAACTAAATTTTCTACCCATTCCCTCCATGATGCAATCCGACTTGCTTTGATGCTCAGATCAGTATATATCCTGGTTATATAACACAGTTAAGATGAATATCTTGCCATGACTTTTGAGCCTCTTCCAGAAATTTTCAGTGGTGATTCCAAGGACCTTTTTCCAATCCATATCTACAGCAATCAGATGGTTTGTATGGAACAAGCAAGTGACTCAGATAAGTAGACCTCAACTGATTCTACCCAAAAACTCAGGATAAATGGCTATTATCAAGCCCACACATTTACAAAGATTTGTTGATTGGCAAGTCCAAATTTAAAAAAAACTATGTGTGTCTATGGATCTATGGAAATCCAACAATCCTACTGTGGCTCGGTGGGGTTCCTCTGGGGACGTTACGTCCCCGGAATCCAATGATAGACGCAACACATAAAGTCTGATGTTCCCTCTGGTACTCGCAACTGACCACGACACCTAATCCGTTGACACCCATAACGCACAACTCTGTCCTGGCTGATGGGTTTTGACCATCTGACTTGGCAGAATGTCAGGTCCCAGACTGAGCATATGTTCCTCAACTCAGCTGAGGACAATCTCAGACATGTTCACATGGATTTCAAGATCTGAGACAACATGGGTTTACTTCAGGGAGATAATGCAAAACTAATCTTATTGATTTTTTTGATTGGATAACTAAAATAATAGATCAGGCTGGTTCAGTAGAAATTGCTGTCCTAGATTTCAGTAAGGCTTTTGACACTGTTCCACATAGAAGGCTTATCAATAAACTCAAATCTTTAAGTTTGGATTCCAATATTATTGAATTGGTAAGGCAGTGGCTAATGCCAGGCAACAGAGGGTTGTAGTAAATGGAGTATATTTGAAGCATGGTCTTGTCACCAGTGGAGTACCTCAGGGATCTGTACTTGGACCCATTCTCTTTAATATTCGTATTAGTGATATTGCAGAAGGTCTTGATGGTAAGGTATGTCTTTTTGCCGATGATACTAAGATATGTAACAGGATTGATGTTCCAGGAGGGAAAATCAAATGGCAAATGATTTAGGTAAACTAGAGAAATGGTTGTGGCAACTGACATTTAATGTGGATAAGTGCAAGATAATGCATCTTGGATGTAAAAACCCAAGGGCAGAGTACAGAATATTTGATAGAGTCCTAACCTCTGAGGTATGGGATTTAAAGGGACACTCCAGGCACCCAGACCACTTTTGCCCATTGGAGTGGTCTGGGTGTCAACTCACACTACCCTTAACCCTGCAACTGTAATTATTGCAGTTTTCATAAACTGCAATAATTACATTGCAGGGTTAACTCCTCCTCTAGTGGCTGTCTACTAGACAGCCACTAGAGGGCACTTCCGGGATTCTAGCACAG